AGTCAAATTGCGATGCTGCTTTGTTTATCGTGATTTCATTGCTTAATTAGCTTTTTGATGACTTTTTTAGCATTTTTATTTTTAAATTGTACCGTTTTTTCGAAATTGATATTTGTTGATTTTCGCGTTTTTTACCATAAATAAGATATGCTATTGAACATCTTTTTGTAAAGTTATGCTTCAGGTTTCAAGGCGAAGTTCGGATTGTACGAAGGAAAAATGATGTTTTATCGAAAATATTGCAGATTTTAGAAAAAAAAACGGATAAAAAATAAAATATTCAATTTCGTATCGTCATTTTAAAAAATTTGACACTGTCAAAACACGAATTGAAGATAGGATAGGGTAATTTACGCAATCGATGGAGTCTTTTGATGCGCCATGAAAAAGGCTCAGCACATAATAAAAAGTTGAAGCAATCTGGAGTAAAAGCAAAAAAGGTGAGCACTGAAACCAAGATTCAAAAGACAAATGAAGTCATCAAAAAAGATGATAAGAGCAACTTACTTAACAATTTACCATTTTGGATAAACTCACCAAACTCAATTTTTGCTAGAAGTTTCAACCAAGTTTCAGATTGCTCACATCATGAAAATCAATTCCCAGTTGATCTTTTTGATAATTTGACTGGAAATGGAATATCACAATGTGAACCAAAAATTGAATCAAGTGGTTTTGATTCATCATTTGAAGAAAACAGTCCAATTGAAACATCATATGAAACAGATGTCAAAAGTGACACAGATGAGCACTACGAAAAGGAAAAGAAGAATCTGAACGAAAGTGAATCAGATCCTGAAATTGGAATGATAATTTGGGAGGATTGGCACATATCGGTACCTGAGGTGGAAAAACATCAAATAACGACCAATAAATATCTCGAATGGTATTGATAATAATTAACAAGACACATGTTTTTACAAATGCGACATCTCCAATAAAATTATATAAGTAAGAATTGTCTGTTATGTAAGTACACTTAATATAAAATTTTCATTGTTAAAAAAGATTGACTCAATGATTTAGTTTATGATTGGTGATTGCATAATGACATTTTTGATAGAAATTGAATGCATCTGTAGCATAATGGATAATGCGCTTCCCTTCTAAGGAAGAGACTCTGGGTTCGAGTCCCCGCAGATGCGTTTTTTTATTTCCTTGTCAATTTTATTTTTACCCAAATGAAGCGATACTTTCTCGTAGTAACCTCCCTTCGCAATGTATATTGTTTAATATCCTTTTAGTAAATTTATTTGCAATTAAAAACTTTCAAAACTGGATCTTATTCATCATGAAAAGGAATTTCCTTTTTCTTATCAATAAAATGACGGTTTTTAATAATCAGACATTTTAATAAATAAAGCTGAATGAATATAAGTATTTTATTATCCAAATATTTCTTCATTCTGAAGGATGAGATTCCGAACAATTCCTGCGTGCTTGTATCCGCATTTCTTATAAAAGAGACTTCGTTCTTCTTCCATTTCTGAGCCAAGGGGCGGCGTCATCAGCTCGATCGAAACGACGTCCCGCTCAACCGCCATTTCACGAACTTTTTCAAGGAGGGCCTTACCAACTCCCATTTTCCTCACTGTTGGATCGACATACAGATCCTGGACTTCGCCGCAGTGGCCGCCATAGTGGAGCGCGCTGGAGAATTGGACAGCGACCGATCCGACTGGCTTTCCATCGAGTTCGGCAACGAGAACGCGATGGTGCTTTGGATCTGCGAGCATTTCTTCGTAAGTTTGCTTAACTTTTGGCAAAATTGGGGGGAGTTCCTTTAATTGCCGATATTGTCTTTCAACTTCCCGAATTCCATCGTTGACAAATGTGAAATCTTCAACACGAGCATTTCTTATTGTAATCATTGTTTAATATAGGGTGCTTAATACAGATATTTGAAAAAAGTGAAATAGAAATTGTGTATTCATGATTAAATCGATATCTGGCCGACCATAAATGAATAGTATTCAAAAATTTATTGTCCCTTTAAAAAGTCATGGTTGAAAACTTTTTAAATAGTATTATTACCATTTTATAAAAAAGATTTTCTGATAATTTCAAAGGAAGTTAATATTTTCAATGACAGTTTAGTAAATTGAATGAATGTTTTGAAAAATATAAAGAAATATAGTCAAATGACGGATTTCGATATTCTCGATCATTTTAGATCTCCAAATATTTATAAACAGTATATACAACTGTCTCTCAAAACCCCTATCTTCGGACATCTTTTGATATAACAGAATATTTTGTCCATATATGTTTTAAAATATTGAAAATGAAAATCATATTTCTTGTCATTTGTTTATTTGAGTTCATTACACAACTTAGTTCTTGTGAAAATCATTGAAGAAAAACAAAATTCTATTTATGCCACTGAGATGAATTTTTCAGTCTCAAATAGATTCAATTTTTAGGAATCACTTTTTAAAATCATAAATAGTCAAACACTTCTGAAAAGTTTTTTCATCATCATTATTAAAACACTATATTATATTTTAGGAGCAATTTCTTCAAGATCTATCTATTTTGAGAGTGAATCATCTGAAAGATCACCTTCATTCTTCTAAGGTGAATGCTTCTTGATGGCACTGTAAATAGGGATTTGGACAATTTCTTTGAAAAAGCTCTGGCGAAAACAATGTTAACATGATTTTTAGTTAATAGCTTTACAATGTGTTCCCTTTGATAGTATTATTACATCAATCATTTCCCATGTTTAGCTCATTTAAGACCATTCCCCTATCATTAATATTTTTTTTCCCCGAAATTATCATTAATTAATCAATTTCTCAAGAAAGCAAATAATATAAAAAAATCGACATTTTTGTTAATCTTTCTGAGGGAGAAGGATTGACATTTTCTTCTCTAACTCCAACATCCTCTTCTTTACATTCCCAATTTTTATTTTCATTAATCTGTTTTCATTTTCGAGTGATAGAATTCTATCTTCTAATCTGTCTATTTTATTTTTTGGCTGAGTCTCCTCGGTTAGCCTGATTTCTACATGTTTTTGTTCAGTCAACTTTGGCGGCTCTTTTGGAATCATTGGAATTCCGTCTGCATTCAGTCTCACTATTTTTATAGGAGAATTTCCGCTTGGCTCCTTCACAACTGTGTCTTCAGACACAAAAAGTGTGAAAGATGATAATTTGTCAAAACAGTCTCGCCCTATCGAAAGCATCCTCCCAGCGGTTGTAGCTTTTCTGAGGCTGACATTTTCAAAGCAAAAGTTTCCAAGTTGTGTCACTGAAGGAGGGAAGTTTACTTCTGTCAGGTTTGTTGATGCAAATGCCGCATTATCAATCACTTTCAATTTTGAATCATCTGGAAAGTTAATTTTATTCAAGGCCGAATAGGAACCAGCATAAGGATTAATTCTGACTGTCTGCTGAGGCAAATTTAATATCCGCTTATTTCTTGGAATTATATAAAGTATTGTCAAATCTCTATTGTATAGACATCCATCAACAATTGAAAAATATGGATTTTCTGGATCAATTTCAATTTTTGTCAGATTTTTGGCATTCCCTAAAAAACAGTACTCGAGCTCTCTGAGGCGAGCAGAAATTTGGAGCCTTTCGAGCGTGTCTGGAAGGCAGGCAGTTCCAAAACTGGTCACTTCACTATCAGAAGCAAATCGAAGTGAATGGATGGTTGATCGTTCAAATGCATGGTTGCTGAGTTTTGTTACAATATATGATTTGCCATTGTGAACGATTGATGAAGGAATTGTAACTTCACCTGATGAAATATTCGATCTGAATATCCTCGCTGTGAAACTGTCAAGCTGGTAGTTGATACCATCGATTTCTGCTTTTTCTTGTAACATTGCAAATTTGTCAGGCATACTGTTGCGCCTAATTTCGGCTGGGAATATGACACTCGGGTGCTTCGACATTTTGGGAGGAATTTAATGTTATTTCCACTTTTCTAATGATGTAAAAAAATTGTGAAACCTCTCTCAGAAAAAAATAAATAATAGCTATTGAATATAGTGCGGATTTCACAATGAACTTTTCAGGTATTTTTGAAAAAGTAAATATGCCAAGTGCAAAAGCATTTAATTAGTACATTTTTTTGCGAGAATTCAAAAAGTTGTTCAGAAATTCGAAAAATGTGGTTCTCTTATTTTTGAAATAATCATTTTTGACAATACAATTTTTTCTTAATATATCTTCATATGAACCCAAAATGGAGCAAAATCTGTACTTTTGAAAGTAAAATATATTCTAATGGTATTATTACTTAATATAAACATTATCAAACTTAATTTTTTCTCAATTTGGTTTTGTTAAATGTTGGAAATTTGAATGATAAATTTTTTTCACATGTTAAATAAGATTCGTTATCCAAAAATCTCAGGAAAAACTATCATCTATTTTGATTTGTGAATAGATGACTCGTTTTATTGAAAACTCACATTTTTCATTAATTTCAGCGTTTCTAGAAGAAATATATAGCAATTTATACATTTTATTATTAATTATTCTAATCATTATATTATGTCAATATTATTGACTATATAAATACATGAAAAAGAGTGTTGAAATAGTCTTTTCAAAGATTGCAGGTAAATATCACTGTTATTACCAATACGTTTTGGGATTTTTCCAACAAATTGTGAAAAAAGTTCGTATAAATCTCTAAACATATTCTATCTATTTCTTATTACTTCTTGTAAATGTTTTTTTCAATGAAGCATTTACAAAAGTGAAAGAATATGCATCTCTGTTAAGACTAAAGTTAAAAAACCATTTGAACACTCTAGTAATAAGTAAACAGCTTTATACTGCAATCATTATATCCTTTCTAGAATCTTTAAATAAACATATGCAGACAACTGTTTCAATTTTAATGTTTCTCATGGTTGAACCAATCGCAAATTTCCGAAATGATTTCAAACGAAATATCGAATTTTGGAAGGCTCTTGGTCGTTACAGAAGTGAAGAAGAAAGAATCATTTTTTAATAAGAAATGGATGAATTATTGACTTCCACGAAATAATTCATTGGTTAGTGAAATATGTAATTGTATATAATATTTTCGATAAAATATTCATTTTTAACGAAATTGTTTATTCAAAAAAAAGTAGATCAAGAATGAGATGCAGGTCATTTCATATCATCATGTAAAACATAACTTCTGGCAACTCCAGTCAATTTATATCCGCATTCTTCATAAAACCTGCTTCGAACATCGTCCTGCTCGCTTCCGGGGGGAGGGGCCATTAAGTCTATTGAGGCGGCATCCCTTTCGATTGCAATTTCTTTCACTCGCTGGAGGAGGGCCTTTCCAACGCCAAGACCGCGCGCTTTGGGATCAACAAATATATCTTGAATTTCGGCACATAAGCCTCCAAAATGTAAAGCATCGGAAAAAGCAACTGCAACGGCGCCAACTTTTTGGTTTTTATGTTCGGCGACAAGAATGCAATGATGATCGTTATTTTTGAGCATTCGATTAAACGTTTCTTGGGCATGGGGAAGCACAGCAGGAAGTTCCTTCATCTGGCGGTATAGGCGATCAACATCTCGGACACCGTTGTTGATGAAAGTGAAATCTTCTGGTCGAGCATTTCTTATCGTCAACATTTCAAAAAAAATGAATTGTTATTTAGCCAGAAACTTTCGAACAAAATTTTATTGAAAAAGTATATATTATGTTTGAGTCATAACCTCTCCCTATAAATATCCAGAAATGAAACCAACGAATGAAAAA